CATTGGTACCCAGCCTCGTATCACCATATGGCAAATAAATAACACACGTTTCCTACGTCATTTAGCGTGGCATTTCAACTCATTTTTTGCTTTTCACATGTCATTTCACGGCATTTTGTCCAAGTGTAGGATATAAATAATCAGAAAAGTCAGAGTAAGGAGGTGTTTGGGGTGAATCGGGGGCCACTAAACCAGACTTTGACCCAGCAAACGGCAGTTGGCTCCCTTCTAGATAAAAATTAAACAAAAACAAACAAAGACAGTGACTGTATGCATGTCGACCGGTTTAGCTTAGCCTCCTTTGTGTTGCTGAGGTCTATGGGGACGTAACTATTTGACGTTCTGGGAATAAGAATGGGCTGAAGAGAAAGGGTTACGGTAACTAAAAGCTCCGTAGCAGATCAGTAACCATCTCATCGGTGTTTTGTTGAGTCGTGATCCAGTTAAATGTAAAATACGTTGATGCCTGAAGCTGTAAGTGGGTCTGAGACTAAAAACTGCTGAGTCACAGCTTCACATCCACAGCTGTGAGTCGTTCTTATTCTCAACCTGTCTGTTAAAATATCTACTGAGCTTCAACAGTTTTCCATCCCCAGTTCAGAACATGAGACTAAAACAGATGAAGAAGAACTGGATGATTAACAGGAGTAATGATGGAGGTGAACGCAGCGCTGCCGACAGAAACAACATCAGCGGGACATCCAAAGGAAGGCGGGATGCCAAAACGCTGACACGCTGATTCCTACTGAGCGTTCTGACACGAGTCACATGTAGGGGGACTTCTTTTGATTATTGAAAAGGTCCAAATTAACACAAGAGGAAATGATCTCATGTTGAAAATCACCACTGGGGACAGAAGTATTCAGATCCTTCACATAAGTAAAAGTGCCGTCACATTCATGTAAAAATACTCCATCACAATCACAAAACAGGCCCACAAGATCCTGGAGGGACGGTGTAGTGTTGTCAGCAAATATGCTAATAAACTACCATGTTAAAGGTTGAGCCAGCTTCAGGCCAAACTTCACATACTTTCTCCTCATTTTTCACAAACAACTTCCTCCAAACACCAAAAGGTCTAAATAAGTAAATAAGTAGACTTAAGAATAGAAGGTCGACAACATCCCACTTTGAACTTTTAAGTTTCGTTTTGACGGCTGCTTTAACACCAACTCAGATACAGGAAATCACAAGACGCGACAGTTACAGCAGCCTGTATGTGTGTGTGTGTGTGTTGGCAGGCGTTTATCTCGCCTCGCAGAGACGTGACCACACCCAGCCTGTCAGCGTTACGACAGCGGCTGTTGTTATTGGCTGACGCAGACGACATCACAGCTTCTGTGTAACGTCTTTAAGATGTCAGTGGTGAAGTTCTGATTGACAGAAGGAGCTCGATGTGTTTCATTTATTTCGTTAACTTCCTTTCTATAGTCCCGCGTCCTTCTTGCCTTCCTTATCTCCTTTCCTTTTCATCCTCCCTCATGTCTTTGCCTTCTTCCTCCTCCTCCTCCCGCCTTATCACCCATCAACACCAGCTGTTGCTGTGTGCTTCTGTAGAAACAGTGATTTGATGCTAACGGAAGCACCAAGACCTGAAGCACCGAGACCTGAAATACCGAGACCCGAAGCACTGAGACCCCAAGCACCGAGACCCGAAATACCGAGTCCTGAAGCTCTGAGACCTGAAGCACCGAGACCTGAAATACCGAGACCTGAAGCACCGAGACCTGAAGCACCGAGACCCGAAGCACCGAGACCTGAAATACCGAGACCTGAAGCACTGAGACCTGAAGTACTGAGTCCTGAAGCTCTGAGACCTGAAGCACAGAGACCTGAAATACCGAGACCTGAAATACCGAGACCTGAAGCAACGAGACCTAAAGCACTGAGACCTGAAGCTCTGAGACCTGAAGCTCTGTGACCTGAAGCTCTGTGACCTGAAGCACCGAGACCTGAAGCAACAAGACCTGAAGCACTGAGACCTGAAGCAACGAGACCTGAAATACCGAGACCTGAAGCACCGAGACCCGAATCAACGAGACCCGAAGCACCGAGACCCGAAGCACCGAGACCTGAAGCACCGAGACCTGAAGCACCGAGACCCGAAGCACCGAGACCCGAAGCACCGAGACCCGAAGCAACGAGACCCGAAGCACCGAGACCCGAATCAACAAGACCCGAAGCACCGAGACCCGAAGCACCGAGACCTGAAGCACCGAGACCTGAAATACAGAGACCTGAAGCACCGAGACCCGAAGCACCGAGACCTGAAGCAACGAGACCTGAAGCACTGAGACCCGAAGCAACGAGACCCGAAGCACCGAGACCCGAAGCAACGAGACCCGAAGCACCGAGACCCGAAGCACCGAGACCCGAAGCACCGAGACCCGTAGCAACGAGACCCGAAGCAACGAGACCCGAAGCAACGAGACCATTCTTAGAGACATAGTGTCCTAATTTCTCTCTCCTTCCATTCTCCCTTGTTTATGTCTCTCTTCCTTCCTCCTTGTGTTTCATTATTAACCAATCACACACCTGGACTATGACCAGCTGCAGGTGATTGCACAGGTCAGGTATATGAGGTTTATCACACGGCAGCAGCTCAGTGTGGGCGGGAGGACACGGTCTGGTCTGGTCCCGGTCTGACGTTAGAGGAGAGAGGAAGCTGTTGTTGTGAATAAAACTCGTCCAGCTGTCGTATCAGCAAACACTTAAAATTCCTGCGGTGGAGAATCAACTAGCAGCCTGAGCGCCTGCAGCCAAAACAACCCTGTGCAACAGTTTAACCCCCCGACCCCCCCACCAGCAGCACCACCGCTGGCTCTGCCCATGGCCTCATTCCTGCAGCATCAACCCCCCCGGCCCCCCCGGCCCCCTGCTGCTCTCAGAGATAAGAGCCGAGGCCTCCGGCTGCTGCTGCTGCAACGCACTGGAGGGAAACACTCGCTATCAAAGGAACATTTTACTCAGTGCATCACAAACACGATCACACTGGTCTGAAACAATCCTGCTGCAGACCTCTGGTCCCCTGAAGCAGAGGGCCCCGACCAGGGGGTTGGTAGGAAAGGAGGGAAGGGGCTAGTGAAGGAAATAAGGAGACTGTCCTCACCAGAAAAACAACAATAGAGCTCGTTAGTGCAAAATTCACTTTCTGTCCTGATCACCAGCCAAATGTCTCCAGACAGACGTTATTATTATAAATGATGCATTAGCATTTAAATATCGTGGAGTCAAAGTATAAAGTAGTGTTCAAGAAGTACTATAGCGTTATACTTATAGTACAGTACTCGAGTAAACACACTACGCTCTGATGAGCTCTACTCCTGCTTCTATTTCTGCAGCAGTAGAGTCTCAGAGGAGCAAACTTTCTATTGGATAACACGAGTGAAGATGACTCATGTGTCCAGGAATAGAGGAGAGCGCCCACGCAGCGCTGAGACGTTCAGGGACTGTACGAGTACCGGACGCCACCGATGAGAAACAAGCTGCGAATGTTTATAACCTGGACTTTTTGAGAAGGTTCCGGCTGCGGACTGTAGCTCAGGGGGCGTGGCTTGAGGGATGAACGTGGCGTGAGCGCGGGACTCGGTGTAGGTCAAAGTCCTTCAGACTAGAGGGCGGGGTTTGAAGAAGAAGACGGTAACGTAAGGTAATGACAGCTCAGTACAGCAAAAGATGAATCTATGATGTTAATAGCCAAAAAATATACAGTTATTTAAATTTATTCATTTCAGTTTAACGTTGTTAATCTAAATAATAATAATCTTTAAAAATAAGCATTTTATTAAAGTCAGTCCAAAGTTTAAGATCCTTACTCACACTTTTGATTGTTCTGTGTTTTTAAATTTTACTCTATTGTGGTATTTTAACCTGTTTTATTCATTTTAAACGCAACATTTATGGACCCCCTCAATAAACAGATGCACCAACATGCTGGCTGTGTTTTCTACTTGTGCTGTTTACTATGACAACATGCAATGGGACTGTTGATGCTGCGAAGAGTTTAACTTAAAAATGTTTATGTAGCATCAATGGAAGTTAATATTAATAGTTTTTGTCATTAGTACTATTGACATGAAAAAATAATTAATTATTATAATTACACTACTTAGGCTTTGTTTGAATCGCTTATTATATTTTCTCAGCTCACTTTAACATTTAGCTTGTGGAAACAAGAACAATAGACAATAATAATATAATAATAATAATAATAACAATAATAATTATAATCTTATAAATAGTCTTTATGCTGTAAGTCTCTGTGTGTTTGTATGATATTGTGCTGTAAATAAAGTTTATGTTTAAATCACAGGCTTCTGTCTGTCCAATGTGTTGTACCAACTGGGCAGGAATCAGTATGCACATGTGCAGAACAGACCGTACAGAAAGGTGCAGCGGCTACAGCCAATCATTACATATTGTACCGTGAGGGGGCGTGGCGTGAGCGAGGGGCGTGGCGTGAGCGGTGCTACAGTCCGCAGCCGGACGTCATTGGACTTTTTAATCACTGCAGCTCTAACGAGATTTCAGAGCGTGATTTCAGAGCGAGACTTCAGCAGACCAGGACCGGATCATCTTCTTTGACAACCTCCGAATTAGCACATCGTAAACAAACTAAAGCGACACTCGAGGAGGTTAATGAGACATCATAATGATCTTATTGCAGACTACACTCACCTAAAGGATTATTAGGAACACCTTCAATTTACAAAGAATGGTGTGAAAAGGGAAAAACATCCAGTATGCGGCAGTCCTGTGGGCGAAAATGCCTTGTTGATGCTAGAGGTCAGAGGAGAATGGGCCGACTGATTCAAGCTGATAGAAGAGCAACTTTGACTGAAATAACCACTCGTTACAACCGAGGTATGCGGCAAAGCATTTGTGAAGCCACAACACGCACAACCTTGAGGCGGATGGGCTACAACAGCAGAAGACCCCACCGGGTACCACTCATCTCCACTACAAATAGGAAAAAGAGGCTACAATTTGCAAGAGCTCACCAAAATTGGACAGTTGAAGACTGGAAAAATGTTGCCTGGTCTGATGAGTCTCGATTTCTGTTGAGACATTCAGATGGTAGAGTCAGAATTTGGCGTAAACAGAATGAGAACATGGATCCATCATGCCTTGTTACCACTGTGCAGGCTGCTGGTGGTGGTGTAATGGTGTGGGGGATGTTTTCTTGGCACACTTTAGGCCCCTTAGTGCCAATTGGGCCTCGTTTAAATGCCACGGCCTACCTGAGCATTGTTTCTGACCATGTCCATCCCTTTATGGCCACCATGTACCCATCCTCTGATGGCTACTTCCAGCAGGATAATGCACCATGTCACAAAGCTCCAATCATTTCAAATTGGTTTCTTGAACATGACAATGAGTTCACTGTACTAAAATGGCCCCCACAGTCACCAGATCTCAACCCAATAGAGCATCTTTGGGATGTGGTGGAACGGGAGCTTCGTGCCCTGGATGTGCATCCCACAAATCTCCATCAACTGCAAGATGCTATCCATCAATATGGGCCAACATTTCTAAAGAATGCTTTCAGCACCTTGTTGAATCAATGCCACGTAGAATTAAAGCAGTTCTGAAGGCGAAAGGGGGTCAAACACAGTATTAGTGTGGTGTTCCTAATAATCCTTTAGGTGAGTGTAGCTCCAGGAGTTTTACTGTAAACATCCCGCCATGAATCTCCTTTGTCAAGTCTGACCTTCTTCTTCTTCTTTTGTGTTTAATGGCGGTCACTTAACAAACTTGTTTTAAGCCAAACAATGACCTTTGCCCGAACCTAGCCGCCGTTCACAGCGTTTACCGCGTGTTAAACGTCATGTGACTACTTACGGTTCGACCTGTTTAGCCGTTCAGATGTGAGAACGTGTTGATGATTAAAGCACAGCAGACGGTGGCTGATGGTGCATTCAAGTGCTTTCGGAATAATCAGAATTTTTTTTCCCTCCTTAAATCTTAATTTCAGAAAGAGGAATGAAGATGGGACATAAAGAAGTGCACAGAACAGTATACAAATATTTAAGAAGACACAGATAATAAGGACTTTGCCAGGGGTAGTCTACATTTTATAAAGGTATTAAAAGAGGACCACATGTTGAACGTTTTCACAGGCTGTCTGTTGTTGGAGTTAGAAATTAAATTACTCTGATAATGTTAATCCAACACGTCTTTTTAGTAGCGTCCATTTTGATTTCACATTCAGACTTCACAACTCGGGAAATGAGACAATCAGAGGAGCACCTGAACGCACCGTGAGCCAAAAGAACTTAACAGGTGTGGTATTAGTACTTTTACTAAAGTAAATGATATGAATACTTCGTCCAGTGCTGGGTATAATTATGTTTTCAGAGTATTTCACACACATGGAACTAAACGGTACAATCTCCTGATGTGTGTCCAGGCTGAAATTAAAATCCTCGACATGAAGAGACTCACACAGCTGACTGCAGACCCGTTACTCACGGCTCCAGAGTCAGTTACATCACATTCTCACCTCTCTCGACCTTTTGACCTTATGACTTCAATCAAAAGATCCAAACGTGTGGTATTTTGAAAACTGAACGAATCATCATCCGTGAGCAGAGACCCGGTGTTTCCATGACGACGCCTCTCTCTCTCTCTCTCTCTCCCTCCCACGTCGCTACATGAACAGAAAAACGTCTTCAACCTAAAAGACCTCTGCTCTCCTTTGAGACAACGCTCAGGGATTACCAGACCGTAACTAAGTATATTTACTAAAGTACTGTACTTAAGTACAAATCAGAGGTACTTGTACTTTACTTGAGTATTTTCTTTTCATGCCATTTTCTACTTCTGCTCCATCTCAGAGGGACATGGAGCTTGTTTGGTTATAAAAGAAACAGTTTATTGAAGTACAGCTGGTTGATTGACAACTAATTAAATTTTTTATACAAAAACATTTACTGTAAAGATTTGCATACTTTTACTTAAGTAACATTTTCAATGCAGTACTTTTACTTGTAACAGAGTATTCTTTTTACAGTGTGGTATTAGTACTTTTTACTAATTTGTAAAGGATACTTCATCCACCACTGGTGCTTACAGCCATGCTAACAGCGCTATGTGCTAAATGCTAACATGAGCTCACGGGGGCAACGCTAACATGCTAATACTTAGCAAGAAAGACCTCCATGTTCACCATCTCTAGTTGTTGGACGCCATAACATGTTGACCTGATGGTGGCGCCAGACGAATTATGTTTAAAAAATAAGGTTAATACACATTTATGTCAACATCTCCCTGATCCTTCATGTTAGATAGATAGAGCAGGTTCCACAGATAGATATTAATAATATATCCTGTTATGTGCTTTAATAGTAATGTATTTAATTCACTACTACTATTGAACTGAACTGAATGCTACTATTTATTATGACACTTCTGTTAACACTGTAGGGTGAAGTCCGCTGAAATGGGCCACCTTTTGGTAAATGACTAATTAGACCATCTAATAAGCTTTGCATGAAAATGAATTATTCTTTTATAAATTGGCATGGGACTCTTAAATATATCTTGTTTTGAAAAAGTACAATTGTTTTGTAATTGTGAGAGTTTGAGTGTCAGCATGTTGCCAGCTGTTTAGGTTAAATGTAAAGACAGAACAACACAGAGATTTTAGCTGAAATCATTTAAATGTTTGCAGGAAACTGACATTGTTGTCTTTGGGTTGCCACAGTAACAACATCTTAAAATACATTTCATGCAGTTGAGCAAATATTTAATTGAAAAATGCATTAACAAGTGAACTGATTGTGTGTGTTTCTGCACAGTGGTGTGTTTGTGCGTAAAGTAATTTTCAGTAAATTTTCAGTAGGCCTGTGTGTACACGACTTCACCCCACATACTCCTGTATATTTACATTTAAATGTGTATTTAAGGTCAACTCTACCAGTAAACTCATTAGTATTATTATTATCTAATTCACTAGTATTTATTTATCATTACATTTCTTTTAATACTGTAATACTGTAGCCTACACACCCATAATACTTTATTATTATTTCTATTCCTAAATATCTCGACATGCAAAGTGAGCAATTAACTCAGTGCAGTATTTCTGATTCAGATAGATAGATAGATATTATGGGACTCTCATGAGGAGGATTTGAGAGTGGAGGCGGGCCAGCAGATGTTGTGATGCTGGTTGTTACATAAACCCATCCTCTCCTTCTTAATCCTCCCTCCATCCCTCCTCTCTCCGCGGCGTGCTCACTCTCCGGCAGAGAGTTACATAACTCCGGACCATCACACAGGAGCTGAATCACCTCAGATTAAACCTCCAGACGTTGATCATTAAACACAGCGCGCTTTTATGTGTTTTAATGTCACACGGAGAGACTGAGAGGCCCCTCGGGAGGGAGGGGGCCTCGGAGCGTCTCTGCCCCGCTGTGGCGCACCGCAGCCCGGCGTGTCACTGCGCCGGCTCCCCCCGGACAAGGTCGAGCATAACCGGGGAGAGAAGGGCCGAAGTCCCGCTAAAACCACCGGCATTTTATTCCTACAATATCTTAACGGCATCTGTATCGTCTGTTTTTCATCCAAACTTCACTTTGCTGTGCTGGACACAAACCTCCAGAACATTCCTAATAACCCCACAGCGTATTTTATATTATCCCATTCACCATGTATATCCACACACAGGCTGTATTATTTATAAGGAAGGATTATTCCAGCTGATATCAGCGTCTCATGTTCCATGTAAAGCCTCAGCAGCAGTCTTACCTGAGTCAGATGTTACCGCTGTTTGTCAGAAACATCCAGCAGCTCCGTCAACTAATGTTTCTCACTGCGCTCAGCCCCAAATATAGTCCGTGTGCGCGCGTTTGTCTGTGAAACCCTGTGTGTGTGTGTGTGTGTGTGTGTGTGTGTGTGTGTGTGATATCAGCAGCAGTGTGCCTCTCTCTCTCTCTCTGCTGGTTCAGCCTATTACCTGTCTATGTCTCTCTCTCTCTCTGGACCAGTCCATTTGCAGCAGCGGGGGGGTTAAACATGACAGTGCAGCATGTTGGTGATAAGAAGTGCGTGTGTGTGTGTGCGTGTGTGTGTGTTTTGTTACACACTGTGTCTGTTAGTAATTTCTGGATCAGTCTGAGGAATATATTCCTGTAAATACTTCAGAGTTTAACCCTGAAGTATCAGCCTGTAATATTTTTCAGTTTTACTTTTTAAATCTCAGAATCATTATTGTTGTTTGTCTGAAACATGTACACATTTATTTGCACATTAAGAAAACGTGCAATGCGATTAAATTACAGACAAACAAAAATGTGCATTGTCCAAAAAAATATCAAGCTACTGAAAACGAGCAGCAGAAATCAGTAACTTTAACACCCTCTGCGAACATGAAAATAGGAGGGAAGACTAAACCAGGCCTCAGCAGGGATGATCTTACAGGAGAAACAGATCTGAGAGCTGCACAGACTTAGATTCTGTTAAATTTCAGATATTTTGTCACGTGCTGCCTGAATTCTGCGTTTCCTTTTACATAAATAAAAACATTTCCACCATAAATTGGTGGAGAAACTTTCTCCAGAATGCAGGAAATTCATCATTTAGACAAAGTTCTTTACATCAAACATCAGCAGCTTTTTGTGTTTTTGTAGAAAAAACATCTTCTTTTAAAGTAACCGTTACTACTGAAGGCTCAGCACTGATATTCCTCACCTCGGCTTCCTGTGGTTGTAGCTGGACTCTGGTCTTCATGTCGGCGCCCGCAGCGTCAGCTCGCCGTCAGCTCCAGATAAAGGATTCATGGATCTGAGCTGCTGCAGAGCGGCCGGCCTTAATTTGCGTCTTTCAGAGCAGCAGGTCAGAGAGGAAACTGTTCAGACACACAGCTGCAGGTGATCTCTCTGTGGCCCTGCTGTGGGGTCCCTGAGAGGCCCCAGAGGCGTTTTGGTAACCAAACCGTTCTGGGGAGCTCCCCGAGAACTACATGTCCTCCTTTGGAAACGCTGAAGTCACGTTGACAACAACACCAAACAAATGTTAAGAAGGTGGAGGACGCCTCAGCCGGAGCTGCGTGTCCTTTTGTGTCTCGTGATAATAACAGAGTTGGAAAAGAGAGTTAGGCTGCGCGGTCGAAAGAGCAAGAAGAAGAAGGAGAGCGAAGACACCAAAACCCCCACGGCATCTGGCAGAAACGTTATTTCATATTAGGGGTGTGTGAGGTTGACAAAAACTGACAGCTCGACAGTTTCTGGGATTCTTTCGCTTCACCTTTCAGCCACAACATTATGACCACCTGCTGGTTCCTTTCCATCAGAACCAGCATCAGCTTCTTCAGCTGTTCGACCTGCAGCAGCTGGTCTGTAGGACCGGACCACACGGGCCAACCTGTTCCCTTCCTTGGACCACTTCTGATCACTTCTGACCTGCAGAGCGGTTTACAGAATGAATCGTGCAGATTTGCTGAGTGATTTATAACAAATTAATAACAATAAATAAAATAGTAAAACATAATGAGTTATTATTTATTTGTCATCTTATTAACGGAGGTCTGTTGTGGAGTTCAGAAGTGTCTCAGGGAGTCCAGGTGATGACCCTGATGGCGGTCTGAGCGGCCCGTCGGACGTCCTGGTCCTCCCCTGCAGCCTCGCTCCTCCTCTCCAGCAGGGGGAGCTGCTCCAGCAGGCGGCGGCGTCCGTCTGGAGCTTCGGCCAGCGAGGTGAGAGCCCGCAGGGAGTACATGACGAGGGCCTTCCTCCTCCTCCTCCTCTCCTCGTCCTTCTCCTCCTCGTCCTCTTTGCGCTTGGACGCCCGGTCGAGGAGGACGGGGAGGACGCCCAGATCCAGACACCGCCGCTTCCCTGCAGGAGAAGAAGAAGACTCAGTCGGACTGACAGAGACAACCTCCCCCGGCTCAATCATCAATACAGAAGACGAACAAATGTCTTAAAAACATCTGCTTCTTTGATGAAAACTCAAAGGGACAAGAAGTCTGTGGATACAAAACCTCCCAGGGTGCATTTCACCAACAAACATCCAATCACAGAGCTGATTACACTTTGACGTTCAGCTCGACAGAAGCTGTGAGGCTGAAACAGGCGTGTGTTTGTACCCGTGGTGATGATCACGGTGTTCATGATGACTCCCGCAGCGTTGGCCTGAACCTCGATGTCTTCGTCCCGCAGCAGGTCGACTAGGACAGGAAGTACCGCCTCCTCGCACACCTGCCGCTTCCCGTCCTCACAAACACTGAAACCGGCGGACAACAGGACACAGACTGTTTCACGTTTGCTGTGACTGACTGACACTACAGCACTGTTGTACTTCACACGGCCTGTTACAAATAAATGAGTCTCACTTCTCTTACGTGAGGCTGAAGATTACGAGCCTAGACTTTTGAAATTAAGCTTAATGTGAATTTATATTAATTTAGTTCTAGTGATGCACCGAATGTTCGGCAGCATGTCCCAGCAAATCAGCTCCATCTGCGGCTGACTTCTTAGAAAAGAAACGCTTTGAGTGTTTCTGTCTCTCGTCTGTGAGAATGAGATTAAACTAGCCGCGCCTACATTTGGAGTGCGCACGTATTCAAGCCTTTACGGTAAGTGAAGCGGCCCAGAGCGAGCTGACGGGCAGGTTAGAGACTTTATCCTGTCAGTGTGTCTCTTTAGTATGAAGAGAGGCTGTGAAGTCTTCACGTTACAACATTATTTATCAAACCATTTAGCGTGAGGAGGAAACACATTTGGATTATTGAATTTATGCATTGGGGGAAAAAAGGCAAAAGAAATAAAAAGAAATGTGAGAAACCTTGTTTAGTATTCGGGAAAGTTTTCCGTTATATTCGGTTTCACCTTCATCATTTTCCTTTCGGTGCCTCCCTGGTTAGAAGCTGTCTTGTATCACAGAAACAGGTCGTGCAGCGCCACGTTTTGCGTTGTGATGTGGGGAGTTTACAGTAAATGTTGAGATTCAGACACAAATGGATTTTGTTGCTTTCTGAAGTTAACCCTTTCACGCATGACGTCCACTACAGCGGCAGATATGTGGAAGCCATTTTGAACCATATAAGTTATAGTACCGTGTCCCAAACACCACGTGGCCGAACCCCAAAGAGTGTTTTTATCTTTTACATCTTGGACGTTCTGCTTTATTTTGTATGTTTTATTTAAAAGGATGAAATTATTTGCACTTGAATAACTTGATGTGTTTTTATACCACCTATTTTGGACTGAGTTCCACTGAATCACTTTTGATGTTGTTGATGCATTGTGTCCACTGCAGAGGACGTATTTCAAAATTAAATATATAGAGAGAAAGTTATAGTTTTAGACTAAAGTAAAAACAAACTTAATTATTACTTTGTGATTTAAACATTATGTATGGAAAGGGTTAATTTGCTTTTGAGTGTGTTAAATGAATGAATCTGATTTGAGAAGTTCTTAAAAGTGTGTTGAACGACCAGCTGAGCTGAAAGAATAAAGGCTGAAATTGAGGAACACGTAAAAGCAACTCCTTCATATTATCGGCTCCGGTCGTTTAATTTAGGCGAGTTGTTTTCTCTTTTCCTGCAGGTGGCAGCTGCAGCTCTTTTACTAAGGCTGCAGGCCTTAAAGCTCAATGTTTTGGTTTGACAGTTATAGTTTAAATGTGGCCCAGATCAGACTGAAGCGAGAACTGTCCTCAGCCTGAATGTGAGCAGGAGAGTAAAAGGACGTCCAGACTGAGGTCTTCATTTAAACAGTCTGACCTAGATCTGAATTGGACCATATACAGTGAGGAAAATAAGTATTTGAACACCCTGCTATTCTGCAAGTTCTCCCACTTAGAAATCATGGAGGGTCTGAAATTGTCATCGTAGGTGCATGTCCACTGTGAGAGACATAATCTAAAAAAAAAAATCAGGAAATCACAATGTATGATTTTTTAACTATTTATTTGTATGATACAGCTGCAAATAAGTATTTGAACACCTGAGAAAATCAATGTTAATATTTGGTACAGTAGCCTTTGTTTGGTCAAACATTTCCTGTAGTTTTTCAGCAGGTTTGCACTGCAGGAGGGATTTTGGCCCACTCCTCCACACAGATCTTCTCTAGATCAGTCAGGTTCCTGGGCTGTCGATGAGAAAGTTTGAGCTCCCTCCAAAGATTCTCTATTGGGTTTAGGTCTGGAGACTGGCTAGGCCACGCCAGAACCTTGATATGCTTCTTACAGAGCCACTCCTTGGTAATCCTGGCTGTGTGCTTCGGGTCATTGTCATGTTGGAAGACCCGGCCTCGACCCATCTTCAATGCTCTAACTGAGCAATACATGGCCCCGGTCATCCTCTCCTTAATACAGTGCAGTCGCCCTGTCCCATGTGCAGAAAAACACCCCCAAAGCATGATGCTACCCCCCCATGCTTCACAGTCATGTTTAGCTTCTTCCATTTTCTAATGATTGCTCCAACAGTGGACCTTTTTTCACCAAGCTGCTTGGCAATTTCCCCGTAGCCCTTTCCAGCCTTGTGGAGGTGTACAATTTTGTCTCTAGTGTCTTTGGACAGCTCTTTGGTCTTGGCCATGTTAGTAGTTGGATTCTTACTGATTGTATGGGGTGGACAGGTGTCTTTATGCAGCTAACGACCTCAAACAGGTGCATCTAATGTAGGATAATAAATGGAGTGGAGGTGGACATTTTGAAGGCAGACTAACAGGTCTTTGAGAGTCACAATTCTAGCTGATAGACAGGTGTTCAAATACTTATTTGCAGCTGTATCATACAAATAAATAGTTAAAAAATCATACATTGTGATTTCTGGATTTTTTTTTTAGATTATGTCTCTCACAGTGGACATGCACCTACGATGACAATTTCAGACCCCTCCATGATTTCTAAGTGGGAGAACTTGCAAAATAGCAGCGTGTTCAAATAC